TGAGTAATTTTATTGGTTGGTGTGATGTGTGTGTCACGGGTGATCAGCTGACCGGAAGATAAACACACTCGCACGGATCTTTAGACATATAATCGATCGACTATCAAATATAGCACCTCTTACAGCCCCGTTTGATGTATCACGTTTTCCTTATTAAGTTTGATAAAAGTAAATAAGCTTGTGCAATAGATATATATTCTTTTGAAAATTGTATGGCTAATCACGAATCATCACCGTAATCTTTGAACAGGCAAGTCAGAAGACAAACACTGCGAGTAGAATTCCTTTCGTAAGCTGTTATCGGTCGCGTACGTATAACATTGAACAAGATCGACAGATGAGGCGAATTAAGAAATCTAGTTAGTATTAACCGTATGTGTGTGTGTGCGTGTGTGTGTGATTGTGTACAGTGTGTGTGATGCACGTGATTGGTTGGGACCAGGGAAGGCCAAGGGTAAAGGTCATACGCTTTTGGACGCACAGTGGGTTTGTTGTGAGCGATCGATAATGCCTCGAGTATCCTTAATCGGTGTGTACAAAAGGAATTCCTCTCGCAGTGTTTGTCTTCTGACTTGCCTGTTCAAATTCATTACGGGATCCAAATGTTTCAGTTTTCTGAAAAGAAGACCCCCATCGTAATTTTTGTTAATTCTCCGGAAAAGAATTTGAAGGTTTCGGTATTCGCACTTTGACTACGGCGGATATTTAGGTAGTCCAATTATAAAAGACAATATTCAGTGGCTGCGCTAGATTGTTATCAAAAGTCGAGTGACAGAATTCATACTTTGGACAGTTATTTACTCAAAGACTGCTCATTACTTTACCGTTTTTCCATGTTTATAACCGTACACTTCCGTTTTGGTTTTATTGTATCATAATGTTAAAATTCATTCTGTAAGCCACGTTTGAAATCGACTGTACGCTGATAGGTACAACAGAATTGATTTCCAACATGGACTTTCAGCGTCCGTCTTTCACCATGGACATGGGTTTTTCCATGGTGATGAACCTTTTTACGGCTGAAAGTACCGGCTAGCACCCCTCTCAAATCTCGTTTTCACCTAGATTTACTAGTACTTTAAATTACTTTTGTGAAATAATTTTCGAATGTTAAGCTGGTTTTAAGGTTAAAGAATATCATTTCCTGTTAAAAGGACGACATCACGTTCAAAAAGGACATAATCCAATCAATTAGTACTGCGGTATTTTGGACTAAAATCATGAAAAAATGTGTTGTCCCACTGATAAGAAACATATATATATGCGCAGTAGTTATACTCCGATAAAGTCTATAAAAAGCATCCTTTTTTAGTTCACAATCTGGGACATCAATTCCGTTGTTCCTACACTGGCATCAATTGGTCCCAGTCGTAAGTCCTTCCAATTTTATCGCTTACGTACTGATTACCTTCTTCTGTAGAACCCCATCTCTCACTATGTTTTCTGCAACCATTAAGGTCGTGCGTAAGACGTTTTCTAGTTTACCGTTGCCGCAGCTAACTTATTTATGTAATCTTTATTATTACTATTAATAATGATAATATTAATATTACGATCATCAGCCTTGCTGTGAAGCAAGATTTACTGAATTAAGTTCGCTGTACAGTGTGACACACAGGTAGATATATCTTAAAAGTTATAAATGATAATTTGTTTTGGGAGGGAGGGGGGACGGGGAGACAGCTGAAACTTAGCAGGATAACATGAATTCGGTTATTTCGGGTACTCTCAATCAGCTGCATACGTGCAATGACAATCAAAGTTAAACAACAACAAAGACATGATAGGTTATCGGACAGATGAACACATCAATCGGGCCAATCACAGGACAGGGGCAAAGGTCACACAGTCAACCACGGCCAGTGAACACATGACGGAGTTCAGTCCTGCCAGGGCAGGGCAAGACTAGCCACAAAGTCTAATCATTCTGTACAAAACCAAGCATCTTCTCGTGGAATCAAATTTGGACAAGCCTGATCTTCAAGTTACCTCCTTTTGTATTTATCTATTCAAGTGTACTTGCGGTAGCAAGTGCATTGAACGAACTGAGAGAAGGTTATCCGTAAGGATTTTCGAACACATTCCGAAGAATCTAGCACTGAAGGGAAATGAAGTTCTTAAAAGCCACATATTAGACTGCAACTTGTGCGTGGAGCCTAACAAGTCCTTTAGGATCATAAGTAG